CACCCCCCACCCAGACCAACCCCCCCATCCCCAACACCAAAACCAAAATTTTATTGCAGATTCGGGGTCCTCTCGCCGGGCGCAGAACGACCCCGGTTTCAAAAAACAAAACAAAACAATTCTGGCCGTTTTTTTGTCCTGCCCGACTTCCAAATAATAACCAAATCGCCCCCTAAGTATGGAAGGCTGAAGGCGCAAGAGCGCTCTTTTGTTTGATTGAGAGAATTCTCGCGTAAAGTCTCTGAGGATCCCAAACAGCTCGGCCGTCGCTGGCTAGGGCGAGCGGACGAGCCTGGAGGAGCTGATAAGAAACCCGAGAAATACCGGCCCGTGGGAGCCTTTGCCCGGGCGGGCCCCCCCGGGCCGGAGCCTTTGCCCGTGCTTCCCCCCCGGGCCCAACCGGCTGGGCCCAGCCCGGCAGGGCAGGCCCGGCCGGGCAGCGTCCTCACTCAGCTACTAAAAAAAAAAAAAAAAAAAAAAAAAAAAGGGAAATCGGTGCGAGTGTGACAACTTCTTTTGCTCAGTCAAGATTCCATTCTGCAACCCGTGCCAGCTCCTCACCCAACCCCATTCGCTCCCCAAACATGGTTTGGAATACTGAATCACCAGTTCAGTACGTGTCATCAACGGAAAAAGTAACCTATATATCTTTAGAGAGCACTGCCTGGAGAACCGTAGGCAGAGAGGGAGAAGAGATCATCAACAAGCGAAGGGCTGTGCCGGACTGTTTCATCGGAGTTTCACCGACTCATCAGCTATGTTGAGCATGTCCGTTCATGTCAGTTCTTAGACTATATTTTCGGTTTTCTCTTCTTTCTCCTTTTGAAAACCGTCACGTAAAAGACAGCAGACAGTAGATGAAGCTTAGGGGAAAAAGAAAAAGAAAAAGCATAAAATCGGAGAGATTTCCCTCACCTTTCCCTTGTTGTTTGACAACTCTACTCTCAGCGTTGTCAGATCCCTCGACAAAATCCATGTCTGCAGTCTGATCGCATGCTCCGCATTTCCTGGGTGCATCCAGACAGCAAACAAATGTCAAAAGAGAGACAGAACTGCCTGGGGAGCTGACCTTTTTTTTCCGCTTTTTACCCCTTTTTTCCCCTTTATTCCCCTAGGCCTTCGGTCACTGCTAGGGAGGGTGATAAGAGCAGCCCTTCCTAGTGAGTCCGCTCGGCCGCTCCATCTATTGGTGGGAAGCTGCACCTGCTGGAAATCGGGTCCAGCGTCCCTTTACATGAGTAGAATAACCATGATTGTACTTGAATCTTGATTGCACTGGAAATCGGAACCGCCCGGACGGCGTCCGCTTGCAAGTATGGGTAAAAAGTATATGGTTAAAGCATGAACAGGAGGACCATACAAACTTATGACATGGTAGCAGTCTGCATAAAGAAGGTTCAAAGCATGAAGACGACCGTACTGACCGATCGACCGACCGACTGACCGGCCGACCGACCGACCTTGAATGCTGCAAGCTGGAGGACTTCAGGCAAAACATATATGCTCGAAGCATGAATGAACAGGACCATCCATTCCAGTCGACCGACCAACCATGAATGTTGCTAGCAGGTCTTCATTCAGGTAAGTAAAGCATGAACGAACAGGACCATACATATTATTGCCTTAAGAGTAATTAAGACTCTTAACGCAAAAAAAAAGCGTACGTACATACATTTTATTCAACTTACCTCTGGAAAACAGGTTCTCAGAAATTCACTGATTTTTTGTGTGAATAGAACGCACGGTCGAATATAACGTACACACACTGTGTTCAAATACAACGTACGTACATTGCATTCAAATTTTTGCAAATTTCGATTAAAAAAAGTAAAATCAGAAAATTGAAAATTCTGAAAAAAAGCCTCGTACAACATTGCAATACAAACAACTTTTGCCTGAGGGTCATGTCAAAATCCATGCCCAAATACAAGAAAAAAAAAACAATAATAAAAACATATAGTAAAAAGTTACTAAAAACATATATATCGTCAAATAGAACTGCCCGGTAAACCGTAGGCAGAGAGGGAGAAGAGGACAACGAACGAGGGGCTGTGACAAACTGTTTCATCGGAGTTTCACCGACTCATCAGGAGGCTGAACCCTATATATCGTCACAAACAGAACTGCCCGGTAAACCGTAGGCAGAGAGAGAGAAGAGGACAACAAACGAGGGGCTGTGACAAACTGTTTCGTCGGAGTTTCACCGACTCATCAGGAGGCTATATATATATTATTATATTGTATTATTGTCACAGAATTGTTTTGAGGGTTCAGCCTCCTGACGAGTCAGTGAAACTCCGACGAAACAGTTTGTCGCAGCCCCTCTTTTGTTGTCCTCTTCTCCCTTTTGTCCCTCTCTGCCTACTGTTTACCGGGCAGTTCTGTTTGACGATACATTGTCACATAACTATGAACTAATGAAAAGGGGAAAGTAAGGGAAAGTACAGAGCGTGGAATGAAGATGAAGGAAAAGGAGAGGATAATAAAAGGCTCAAGAATGAGTCTGTCCTTGACGACAGAGAGGACACGCATTGTAAGGATGAGGTGGATGAACAACACATGGAAGACCTAGCTGAGCATTCTCAGACAACAATTGCCACGACAGCTGGCATTGAGCATGCCCACCATACACTCCCGAGAAATGGCATGTCGATTGCAGGCCAAAATGAAGGAAGAACGATCACCACAAAAGACTATGCATTCAGTATAGCGCCCATGGCCACAAAATGGACATACAGTGTCCGGATGCAGAGGCTGCCTGCACTGAGGAACGGAGGGACAGTGCTCTACACACATGGATGCATTCCTTCATCGAGGATATTGGTGAAATTCCCAACCACATTCGAGGAGAAAAAATCCTGACAGTGGGGTACTTCAGGCTCCTGCAGAGATGTATAACGTACGTACGTACGTTGTATTCGAATACCTGTCTCTTATACACATCTAGATGTGTATAAGAGACAGGCTCTACACACATGGATGCATTCCTTCATCGAGGATATTGGTGAAATTCCCAACCACATTCGAGGAGAAAAAATCCTGACAGTGGGGTACTTCAGGCTCCTGCAGAGATGTATAACGTACGTACGTACGTTGTATTCGAATACAACGTACCCCGTACGTTACCTTCCTATACGACATCTGTACACTTTTTCCAGTTCAAGACAGTAGCCGACCGACCGACCTCAATCATCAGCAGAAAAATGCTCACAACGGTCAAGACAGTGATGGCACACCAACAACCTAATACCCCCTACCCCTCCCCCTAGAGCCGGGGAAGCCGGGAACTGGCGGTATACCCATACATACCTCCACAAGCCTTCAGCATCGCCTTATCGTCAAACGCAGGGGAAGGCCTTGTTAGAATGATTTTGAAAGATCCACCAGCAACTCCCTTGAACAATTGATCTGCAATGATAACCTGTGACAAGTAAAAAAAAGAGAACACAACCATCAACAAAAAAAGGGAACACGACCGTCAACAAACATCCTTCTCAAGGAATGCCCGAGAGTACTTCACAGGGTCAACGGCTGAAGCTGAGCGACACTCGAGCACTCTGGTCTGTCCGCCAAAATCTGGCCACTCTCTGGGTTACTCTCTGGCTGCAATGAATTGCAGCTTTGTAATTTTCCTGAAAAATAAAAATAACAAAATTCTCGAGTCATTTTAATAGGCTCAGAAATCACATGTTTCTCTGAATCATCGTATCGCATTTCCACATATCCACTTAAAGGGAAGTCTTTTCGTAACGGACGACCCTCGTACTCGGGACCTCCTCTGAAAAGGCCTTAAACTTTGGGCCCCAGGCCCAGTTCCAATTTTGATGGTCCCCATATTTCCGTTTGGTTTTGGCCTTTCTATTCGTGGTACTGGCCGAGCAGGGCTCCTGTCTTTTGGGTCAGTCTTAGCTCTACGGTCCGGTAGAAATAGGAGAGGGCCGAAGTCAACCGGGGGTTCTTTTCGTAGTCTGAGAGTGTTGGAGAGCTGGCGTGGTGTTCTGCCGCTGCTGCGCTATTTGGTCCAGGCAGTGGTTCTTCTTCCTCATCAATCAGGCAGCCACACCAGGGACCGTTTCCTGCTGATATAAGAGCAGCGTTGATGCTGGGCATCAAGCGCTGTAACAATCTCCAGCTCCTGTGCCGTTGGGTCTTGAGTAGCATCTATGTATTCTTCTTCAACGAAGTTGGATCCTCTTCTCTTCATCCTTGACGCTGCGCTTCTCTGTTGAGTGTGCGCTTCATCTGCGATCAGGGTTAAGGGAGGGTGCGGGTGTGATCGGGGTTTCTGGAGGGTCTCGACGCTGCCCGCGAGCAGCAACCATGTATTGTTCTTCAACAAAGTTGGATCCTCTTCTCTTCATCCTCGACGCTGCGCTTCTCGGTTGAGTGTGCGCTTCATCTGCGATCGAGGTTTCTGGAGGCTGCGGGTGAACCGTGGGATTCAGGAGGATTGTGTGGCGGTCTGCAGACAGTTAGGGCGGGCACCGTGAGTAGGAAGCCCCATAGCCAGCGTTTGCTGGTGGTGTAAGGAGGAAGAAGAAGACTTCATTATACTTCATCGAAATTTCGTGTCTAAATTTACTGGTGGTTGTTGTAACGTGGTTGTGACTCTCCGAATTTGTGTCACTGATCGAGTTGGGGAGAGAGAGACGGTATTCATGATGTTATTTCAATTCTCATTTGGGTTTGGACTCTGGAGCTTCCGCTGCGTATATCTCATCATTGTTTGGGCGTGGATTCTCTCTCTCCCCGTCTGCTTCGCAATTGCATGCGTGTATGGGAAGGCTTGAGTTGGATGTGGACTGCTTTTCAATCAGTCACATATCACTGGCTAGTCAGCCATTTCTGGTCACTCTGCTCATGACCATCCTGACCTGCTGTAGGTAGAATCCTAAGACTATAATATTACCAAAGATTCTAGCTCAGTGGGTACACCCATGAAGTGTTGAAATACAGACCGGAGTTCGAATCCAGATGACAGTACACAATGAGTAAAACCAAATATTTCTAAATTGCCTGGGGCAGGTCAGCTCAATGAAATTGACACACTTTGTGGATCTCAGTTGACCACAGATACTTATGTCCGGAAGTTCGTTCCTTCATATGATGCGGAATCGAACATTCCTCGAACATCTGGATAAAGCAAAGTGATTGAAAAAAACAAACTCCCACACTGCCATGAGGGGCCTGTCTTGGATCTCTGCTATGCTCATTATTCGGTAATTCGCATTGTGCAATCTGATGTATTCATGATGCTGCTGTATTGCATCCACTCAGAAGACCAGACTATGATGTCAGGCAGTACTCCTGTCATACAGCTTACAAGGAGTACTGATATAACGACAAATAACTGCAGATGCTCACAATTCAGTCCTTAAAGCAGCAAACGGTTTCAAGACTGGACAACACTACAAAATTAATACAAATCAACCACTGCTAAAATGCACTCATTAAACTTCATACGCATTGGGACATCGTGGCTGTACTCTGTGCAACAATCCCAGCCAATTCAGCGGTAAACGAGACATCTATTCTGTGTGAAAATCCCGGCTGATCGGGCCTACCTCGCCCTGCCCTACCAAATAGCCTTAGTAGGTCTTGCATATTTGTCTTCGCCGCCTGAAATGCAATCGCTCATTTACAACCAGAGGACAAGGCAACTTCCCCCTGAAAACCCTGCGGATTTGGTACCCAGGATCCCAGTCACTGAAAATTAAAACACATTCCCTCTGCAGATCAGTTCCGGTATAACTATGGGACGACCACTGCAATACAATGTAACATAGACAAAGCTGAGACTACTGAGTCCCATTTGCACCAGTGGTTAACGGGGTGAACTGTTTTCATTGCTGAAATCAGGTTTTTTTGGCCAAATTTTGGGGTCATCTGGAGGCTTGCAATATCCAGAGGTAAGTTGGAGATTGTTTTGGTATGAAGCTCATAAGCAGCCAATTAATGACCCCGCATATCATAAGAGCATCAGACCAAGCCTGAAAACTACTGACAAACACCCTCTCGCGGCATAAAACCAGTTTCAAACTCACCATCTGCACCATTCAATCTCATCACAACAAACAGATCCACAATGCTGCAGCTCTTTGATTAAGAACTTGGTATAGAAAAATGTTGGAAAAAAAAAGTAGTGGTGAACCAATTGCGAGGATCTGAGCCCTCGGCATGCCCTAATGGGGCCCCTACTGCAAGCATGCGCCCGCCCTAAGTGAAGGTGCCCCCCTGAACCTCAACAAGGCCTGAAAACTACAATTTTACAGGCCCTGGTGGGGCGCCAGACAGTGGCCACACGCCAGTTGGTTGCATCTGCCCTGCTAGCGGGCCCAGGCGACTGGCTGGAAGCAGGCCTTTCGGCCTATCAGAGAGCAGGGAACACCTCACAGGGCGCTGGGTGGTTTGGCGGGCCTAACTGCTGCAGGCCCAGGCCACTGTCTGAACGGGACTGGGGACAGACACCCTGGTCCAACCTGAAGCTACTCGGCAAACGTGGGGCCAGTTCATGCAGCCTTCGAGCCAGGCCACTTTGCATAAAGTACAGTGCCTGGCTGTGAGCGGGCAGTCGGGCAGTTGGTAGTCTGGCGGCAGCGCTGCTGCGTTGTAGAGTGGAAGGCCGCCGGGCACTGCAGCTGGAGAGCGCACGTGGGCGCTGGTTGAAGAGTGGCGGGGATTGGCGGCGGTCCTTGGTTGGAGAAGGAGCGTGGGAGAGAAGACGAGGGTGAGCAAAGAGAGGGCGAGTAGGGGGGTGATGTGAGAGCACGTACCTGGCCCTGGTGGAGGTCTGCATGATCGACATCCGTATGTACTTCGATTGCTGCTGCTGACGTCAACTGGTTGCTTTGTCATTTTGATAGGCTAGCGTAGTAGCTGTATGATCGTAGTCTGGGCGTTGAGAGCCAGGAGGAGGAAGAGCTTCAAGTACACTGTTGGTGGTGGCGAGAGAGGGCTTTCATTGACAATCGAGTTCGCTGCTTTAGTTCTCCTTCAGTGAGATATCGGTGCATTTCTGCTTTTTGGACAGCTTACGACTATCTGGCATCCAATGTGATTTCGCAATTTGGAATTCTGTCTTTCGCTATTGCTCATTTTCCCTGCACAATCCTCCCAGAGAACATATCCTCCGATCCTTTGATCTTTGAGAATGGTGGGAAACCAAATCGACTGATTCGTTCATGTAAGTGCAATGATGATGCCTGCCCGTCTCATTTAGCAGCCAGTGGAACATTTAAGAAATCGCACACATACACTCATTGTTGCTCATTTCAAACAACGAGATTGCGATCACTGCGCTGATTCATCAAATAGGTTTCCACCATTATGACAGTTATGAAACAGAGACACCCACCCTCTCTGCTTCCCCTCCTTTTTCCAAAGTGAAAAAGGGAAGCTGGTTTTGTCCTACCTCATCAGCAGGACAGACAGTGAATGGCATGAAAGGTGACCCCAATGCGTCTGCAATATATTCCTCCTGAGCATTTGAAGGACACACACATGACAACCGATTGACACAACACGAATGAGATTGGTCTGATTGGGAGACGGCGGAAAAGGAAGAAATCACAATCATCATTACATGTAACTTGATGTAAGTTGAGCAACGACCCATTCGCCTGAGCGGAGACATCAGATCACTGCTACGATCTGTGTTCTCAGATTGAGACAACCACAGCGATGCCGTGCTGAAAAAAGCAGACAGTGAAATACAATACAATTGTTCACCGCAAAAAATACAGTACTGTCCGGCTTCCGTTTGCTCAACTTTTTCGCCAATACCTTGAGAAGAAATGCCAGAGAAACAGAGTAAAACAACGTTGTTCAAAATTTGTTCAAGGGCAGTGTAATCACGCCGACAGTAGGCGCCCCTCAATTGATCGGTGACCAACCAGCCCACCAGCCCTTCTGTCAGCACTTACTGGTTGGCTGCTGGTCGGGCCCATGCACAAAAAAAAAAAAAAAAAAAAAAAAAAAGTCCGACCACGATATCCCCATCAATCCCCAATACCCCCCCCAAGACAGTGGTTGAGGGATAACACATTCTGGCAAGTGAGTGGGAGACTGCAGGAAGCATCGTCGCGCACCAAACATATAATGACGGAGTGCGGTCCACGAGATAGCCCGCATCAAGCACCAAACATATAGTGACTTAGTGATGGTTGCAAAGAATTGGATTTCAAGAGATTGTTTGTGATCAGTTTGCAAAAGGAGTCCAGGAAGCATCGCGCACCAAACATATAATGACAAAGTGCAGTCCATGAGGCAGCCCAACTGAATGATGGTTCGACAGAATTGGATTTCAAGAGATTGATCGAGATCATTATGGAGCAGGAGAGGACGGCATGCAGTCTCATGCCATTCTTACCTGGCTGACAACCACTCTCTTCAATGCTGTGGGGTCTGAGTCCTCGGATGCATCTAAGATCTCGTAGAAAACCTCCACCACGTCTGATGGTTCAAGTCCGGCCTTTTTTCTGAGCTTCTGTATCCTATTCACAATCTGCAATTGCAAGGCGGAAGATTAATGCAATCGTGTTACTGCCAAACATATGTACAGATTGCAACTTTTGCACTGCTCTTGGCAGCCTTGACGCATTCCACCCCCCCCACCGCAAACTGTAGCCCGATTCGCCAACCATGCAACAGGGTTCTTTTTCAGAACCGCATACAGTCGGTTTCAAACTTTTGACCTTGCAAATTCGCACATACCGTATCTTCCCTTCTCTCACGCATCGGCCCTTGCTGCCAGGATTACTGCACAACCACTTGTCCAACCACCCCTTTTATCCTCAACATTCTCCTCTTCCTATGAATCAAGAGACATGCAAGGGCAGCAAGACGGCCCCTTCTTTTCAATTCTGGTTTAGACAACCACGGTCAATCAACCAAATGATGGGACAATACTCCATTCCCTCTCCCCACACCCACAAACCTCTTATACCCATACACCATGCAAACGGATTTCACGTGCGCATTCCATGGGTTCTGACACTCAACATCACAAACCCGCTGCACCTTCCACAGCACTCCCTCAGAATCCCAACAGTGAACAAGCAGGCAAACCACCCACTGAGATGTCACCAGATGAGTCACTTGAACTGTGGCCCAACAAGCTGTTGCAAATGTATGCATCCTGACGAAGTCACAGTTCGTCCAATCCTTCCAAGTGAAGGATGAATGCAGACAAGCAGGTATGAAAATTCATTTCGTTGAACCACCTGTCTCCCTGAGCCACTTTTGCTGAGTCGAAACCCTGAAAGAGGCCCGGATCATGCTCTCTCTCTACATCATATTTCTCTCTCTCTCTCTCTCTCTCTCTCTCTCTCTCTCTCTCTCTCTCTCTCTCTCTCTC